TTTGGACCAAGATGATATCCAAAGCCAAGTTCTTGGATCCAGAAATAGCATTTGAGAGAGAGGGGCCTAGGTGACACATCTTGCCAAGTTGAAGGACTGGCCTTACAAGTAGGGGTCACGTCAATACACAGTTACCGTGCCACGTCAGCACACAGAGCGAGTTAGGACCCGTTTGGACCTGAATGATAGCTAAAGCCATGTTCATGGACCTAGAAATAGCATTTTGAGAATGGATAGTTCTAAGTGACATGTCCTGCCAAGTCAAAGGACCGGCTTTGAATTTTCCTGACAACCGTGCATAGACTGCACGAGCAAACGGATCAAACCGGTAGATTTCAGCTATGTTTCTAGAGGTGGGACTGCATGTGGTCTTATTCCTTATTCATTCAGGTTTGGGACACAGTTCCCGGGTGTGGGAGGGACCGCTCGCAGGTTCGATCCCTGGCTGGGACGAACCATGCGAGCCTCACCCAGGGGATTTATTCTTGTTTAATAAATCCAGTTGCCTCGCACGGATGAACCACCACTGTCATATCTCTCAGCCGTGTACTGTTAGCCCTAAATATAGGTTGTAAGGTCTAGCTTACACACTAGTGGTGTGTGTGCGTGAGGTGTGAGTTGTGCGTAAGTTCAGATACTACAGCTTGTACTCGAAGGGTGAGGCAATAAAAAAAAGTTTGGGACACAGTTTTTTTAGTCAAGTTGCGACGCGACAACGTTTTGTTGTTTTTTCGGCCCAACTCTAGTGTTCCTCTGGGCTTTCCTAGGCCTATCTATTATTAGCCCATGAAACACTTCACAGCCCGAACAACAGGCAACAAACTTGCGGCCCAAGCGCAGCACACATCTACGAGAACACTCAGGCCAGTTTGAACAGAGTAGACCAATGCTCAATAGCAGTAGTGTCCGTCCTGCTAGCCTGCTGGACGGACATTCAGCCTGCTTCTAGCCCGCAGGTTGATTCCGACGACAAAAAATTTGCTTTCTCAGTTCTGTTTCACATCGAGATCATAAGCCGAGATGCTCCTGTTACATTTGCCAGTGTAACACGCGACCATGGCGTGAAAATTGCATGCTTCACCACGAAACTGATGAAACATGTTTTCGCTAGCTGTGTAAAGGCTATGGAGCCATTGCAAGAGATATGCAGAGAACAAAGCAAAGGTCAATGGTACACCTAGGTATAGAGACAGAGTTCACCCCGATCAACAACATATGAATTTAACAGATTTCATGCGCATTTGTACTAGAAAACGAAATCGCAAAAAAATTTGTCCTATCATATGCATGTGTGCACATGAATTTCATTATGAACAAATGATTTTTTTTCTAGATTTAGTTTGCGTCTCAACTTTTACAAACCATACAGTAGTAGATGATATGGATACACTATATATATGATGTCGTTGGGTCGGATAGATTCGGAACGATTCAAAGAGGTTGCAACCACCGGTACGGTGTCTCCTCGACCTTTACTTCTAGGATTCGGTTGGCGGCATCATCGAGTGGCAGCGCCAACACGACGCAAGGTTGGCGCGGCCAGAGGCCAGAAGGCTGGACATCAGGACATGCATCGTCACACAGGATGCCGTATGCACCAGGCCGGCGGCCGGCCACCAGCCATGTGGAGGAGTACGTACGTTGCGTTGCAACAAAAATTTGGCCCGCGCGACTCGATCGTATTTGCTCCCGTTCGTGTCAGTGTGCTAGCTAGACTCGTAACAGCATGTGAGCTTCTGTCGGGCCTGGATGTTTTGTTCTTCTAGGGGTAGATGTATCCCACAAAGGCCATTCAATATGTCCGGCACCGTCCTGTTGCGTCCTATGGGACAGTTGTTTTGCATGCACAGGTTCTATTAAGATGCGAGAAATTTCTTCTGTAGCAGAAAAGAAAAGGAAGTGATCTAATGGTAGGTTCCTAAAAAGAATTCATCTCATAACCGAACCAGCATCTGTACGGACACACACTGTGTGGATTAGAAGAAAAACTAAATTACTCCCCCAAGTTTCTCCTCCAGTTTACAGCTCAAAATTGTTTTTCTTATTTGTTTCTCTAGGTACAAATTGTGTTTTAGTTTCAATTTTTTTGAGGTGATAGAGGACATCATATTTTGGAGTTCATTCATTCTGAATTATAAGACGTTTTGGGTTTTCTAGAGATATTAATTTTACTATATATGTATCTATCTAAGTACATAAATAAAGCTATTTTTTAGATAAGGGAACAAAGTTTCAGCCTCTACTACCCCTGATAAACCGAATATAAACCAAAGCCATAAGGCTTACACACTCACGGGAGTAAAAACTCATTTTTGGCCCAACTAGTGAGCGCCACACACAAGAACAAAACTAGAACTAAAACACAATCCGATTTCTTAACTTCCAACCAAACTTGCCAAAGATGGCCAATATCATGGTCGTCTTCCAACTGCTGCACCCCTTCTTGAACAATGGTCGGTCCTCCTCTCTATGTAGTATGGACCACTGATGGATCCAAAACGTCGCCCTGAAAATTAGGTGCATAAAAGTGTTAGATTTGACCTTGTTAAATACCATATCATTTCTATTCAACCATATCGCCGAACACACAGCAGCAGCTCCTTGTAAAATTTGGTTTCTGAGTTTAGGACTTAATCCATGTAACCAGGAACCAAACAAATTAGTGAAGCTAATTGGAGGTTAAATTCCAAACGTGATATGCACTGTATTCCAAACAAAGCTAGCTAAGTGGCAGTCAAAGAACAAATGCTGGATAGTTTCGACAGAACTACAAAAGCAAAACTTGACACTTCCCTGCCAGTTTCTCCTAACTAAATTATCTTTCATGAGAGTTACTCCCTTTTTTAAAGACCACAGGAATATCTTAATTTTAGTGGTACTTTTACTCTCCAAAGAGGACGTACTTTTCTCAGAGAGAACGCCTTATGTAATCAAAGTTTTATACATAGACCGAACTGTGAATAGACCATTCTTACTAAGGTTCCAGCGGAAAACATCTTTCCTTTTCGTGAGATGCACTTGCGCAACTTTTGATACTAGATCAAACCAAGTGGTCTGATTTTCATTAACCAAGCCACGTCTAAAAGACACATTCATGTATCTAGAAATGGAGGATGTATTACATAAATAAATTATGAATTTTCCATCATTATATTCCGTACATATTGTATCCCTACTAATAATTTAGGGCCTGTTCGGCTACTTGGTTTTGCAGCTGCTGCTGCAGCAGCGGTGACGGTGCAAGACACAGAACCCTGTAGATACAGTAACAAGACACGGTAAAAATTTGCAGCTGCAGCGCTGCCGAAACAGGCAGCTGAATAGACCCTTAATATTAAATTTCATCGGATATCAATGGCAAAAAATTAAGATATATTTTTAACATAACTTATGATTTTCTCACAAAATGTGATCTTCAAACTCAATTTAAATGTACAGAAATAAAACAAACAACAAATCTTGTTAAAGGGTAAACTAGACCAACTCAAATAGTTGGTGAGTAAATTGAACCAAATATTACTTTAGGGGTTATCTGGACAAATGTTATAATTAGGGAGGTATCTAGACAAATATTTTTTAAATCAGTTTTAAATCCACCAGAGGCCACTTCTCAGAAGGAGCCTAAGTTATAGCTGTTTTGGAAGGAACCTAGGGCGTTACCAAATCGGCCCAAGATGTGGGAGGGATGTTGAGAAAAGAAGAGGGAGAGATTAAGCATGCACGCGAGTGGTCAGATGATTGACGGAGATGGACGTGCGTGTGTAAGTATTGGAGTCCTGGACACTATGACATATCTAACCCTAATAATGTTAAAGAGCAAAAGGCTTCTTCAACCTTCATTGCTCAAAAACGTTCAATGGGGATCTGACAGACTTGATCTCTCCCATTATCCACGCATATTAGAGTAGGTTGTCGAAGAACATGGAGTCCGATTTCAGGATAAATTGAAATACGAAGTGTTGTCGAAGAACAAGTTATGTGTTCAGGCATTGTTCTAATAAGTTCGATCCCAAAGTAAATTGGAACGCAAAACACATTCATTGATAAACCTCTAAACCTTCTATGCCTATATGAGTTATAGCAGTACGCTTCTAAGTTTGACTCCTAGACAAATTGAAACACATGACGTGGTCACAAAATAAATCTCTAAGCCGTAAGCCGTTGCTATGGACGTTTATGTTTGCTAGCAAAACTAAACACCCTGTTCGCTTGATCGTTTCTGTGGCTTATAAGCCGGCTGATGCTGTTTTGTTGTGAGAGAAAAACACTGTATCATGGCTGATACGATCAAGCGAACATGGTGAAAATGGATGGTGGATGGATTGGGATCAGACGGGAGGAGTATTTTCAATATGTGTTTGATGATTCCCCGTCAAATAAATTACTCTGCAGTAGACGACGTTATTCCCTTTTCGTAGTACGTTTAGGTTGTGAATAGTACAATCATATAACTGTGTGTGTATATACAGCGGAAGAAAGCATACATGCTCGCTATATATACACCATGTCATCATCTCTCTGTTCGACCAGCTGCGTTGAGTCGTTTCAGAACAACCAGAGAGAAAGCATGGCTAGCCACCCCAAGTGGCATTTGACCCAAAACCTCTTAATCCTCCTACCTTACACTGCTGCACTAGTAGCATTTTCTACTTTGACGATCCCACTGGTTGCTTCATCCCAAACTATAGATTTCAAGAGAACGTGCGTTGGTCCCGAGAACTTAATACAGTTATGTGTGGGTGCCAAGCCCAAACGAGGCAACAGCGTATCCCTAGTAGCTCGCCAGTGCGACGAACGCTAGGGCGCTCATCCATAACAGTGAAGACATCTCTGGGCCCCTTCCCACGGACTTCGGCTTCTCCAATTTGAGTTACCTCGCCCAGGCCAACAACAAACTCACTGGGCCAATTCCAACATCAGTCGGGCACCTGCACGACACCCTCCTCGAGATTGTACTCCTGAACAACCAGCTCTCCGGCTGCCTCCCCCGCGAGCTCGGCATGCTGAACAAGGCAGCCGTGATCAACGCCGGCAAGAACCAGCTCACGGGCCCAATCCCTTCATCATTTTCCTGCCTTAGCAGAGTCGAGCAGCTCAACCACGCCGGGAACTGCCTCTACGGACGTGTTCCTAACACTCTCTGCAGGCTTGCTGGGCAGGCTGGCCACCTGGGCAACCTCACGCTGCGTGGCAACTACTTCACCTCAGTTGGGCCGGCGTGCACAGCGCTAATCAAAGACCGCGTACTGGACGTGAACAACAACTGCATTCCGGGCTTTGCAAACCAGAGGCGACCGGCGGAGTGCGTGGCGTTCCAGAGCCAGCCAAAGAAGTGCCCGGAGGTGAGCACTCAGGTGTCGTGGCCTGCTGCAGCTTCCACGAATGCAGCGGCGCCGGTGGAGAGGAAGGCCAGAGACTACTACAGCTTCCTGACGTACGCTAGTCTGCGTGAGTGAGGCACCACGGCCATGCAATGGAAGCGAGAGTGCCTAGCTGGAATTTGGCTATTTGTTCTTGTATCATTCTTGTGTACCGTGTGATGGTGTGCTTGTGATTGTTGTTTGTTCGTTTGTATCACGTGCTATGTAGATACCTGACCAACACTACCACATAGAATTCATCACCGCCAGGTCTGATACCATTTTCACTGTCACTAGCATTAGTTTAGTATTTAGTTTCTCAAGCTTAATAAATTGATCCTGGGTTCTTTCTTCACAACACAATATTTAATCAATGTGCTTGGCATCACTAACTAATGTGCTATTACTCAAAATGATGCTGAAACTTAATTGTACCAGTATTGTAACATCCAGGATTACATAAGGCACAAATATGGACTTTCAGATGGAATAAATTTTTTTTGAAGGTTGACTAGATACTGTAAACATAGATCAATAATTAACTTTTTGATCCGTTGCTTATTGGATATACAAACGGAGACCACCGATGCGTAGAGCTCATTGAATGCTTTTTGTTTGACTACTTATTCGCATCAATCAGACTTCAGATGACAGAGCTATATATGTTCTTCTCTATTTTCAAACCAAAAAAGCGAATGCAGCATGCTACAGTAATGCAAGTGGGCCTCCTTTGATCGTGATCGAGTCCATCTCCTGGATGGTGGCGTGAGGTTTTCTCGTGAGTCCGGTCTCCTATGCCACCGCCCATCTCTTTCACGTACATGAGACAGAGAGAAAGAAGGGAAGGGAGATACAGGAAGACAGGGGTTAAGGTTTTCTGCCCTCGTCTATAGTGTTCGTTCTTCCTCTGTAATAACTGATTAGGCATTATCTTCTCTCTATTTTTGCCCTTAATTTATTTTCTCTCCCTCCCTGTTCATGTTGGCCACAACATGTTCATGCGTTGATCAAAACGCAGGACGATTGTAGTGGCGAGGATCGTCGTGAAGTGGAGAAAAGTAAGGAAGGAGAGGATCGTTGAGGCTTGTCGCCGTCCTTGCTGTGGCCGCCCTGAGTTAGATGCCAAATCCTAATCCAATGTTTTCGGTCAAGTTTTGTTGGTCCAATCATCTAATTAGAAGAGGTTTAGTTGGAGTAATTCCCGAAATTAATCGCGTCCACGTTGTGAAATCCTGTTAGACTGTGCAATTCCTGTTCATTCTCATTTTAGGAAGATTGTTTTTCGGTGATGAGATTTTGGACAGTGTTAGATCCAATCAGTTTTTGGCGTTAGTAACAAAAGAATTTAAACTTTTGATCTAAACATAAACACAGGTTGGTAAAGAACACATTTTTTGGATGCATATATATATCTAGTTATGAATTTTATGAGTTTGTTATTCAGTTCTGATCATCAGAAAAGTCTAGCTAAGTTCGAAGGTTGTTTATGCCATCTTGGAGATCTTATATGCCAAATTGTGTTATTGTCATGGTCCTAAGAAGGGCCCTCCCCAGCGGACCAAATGGGATGGCCAAGACCCAAAGCGGGGCAACGGTGCCGGCCGAGGGCGCACCTGCGTGCCCAACCCTAGCCAGCCACCCCAACCCACCCCGAGCAGGGACCACAACACCTAGTATCAGGAGACCAGATCGATCCTATGGCCTCCACCACCACCACCGTGACCGCTGAGATGAAGAGGATCTAAGCATCTTCTCCGTCAATATGGGCAGCCGCTTCGATGAGCTCAGCATGAAGCCCACCAAGCTCGACCTCCGCCTCACCGACATCGAACGCCAACGCTGCCCCGAGCTTCAGGAGAACACAACAGCGGAGCTCGAGAAGGATACCATGCGCGTCATGGAGGACGCTGGTCATGCCTTCCTCAAGTGGATGTAGGAGGCGCCCATCACCATCACGCCTCTCGATATCGTGGATACCATGGCAAGCAAGTTGTTCACCATGATTCCCCCAACAGCGAAACCAATGAGGAGCAAAACCGAGAACTCTGCTACAGAGCCTTGGTTTGCATCATGGATCATCATCGACAGCGACGACGATGACAATGGTACTGACATCGAGCCTCGCTTGTTGATGCTCACAGGCGCCCCCAACTCAGGGGTGCGTGGAGGACGCACCATGCTCCTGGCGGGAGCCATCCTTGGCTAGGGCGTCTGCATCCTCGACGACACCGGCACCACGCACAACGTCATCGACTACAGCCCCGCCCGTACCGTCGGCCTCGCCGAGTGCCGCATCACCACTACCATGCTCATTGGTAGTGGCACGGAGCTATCCTGCCGAGGAGCCTACTTCACTGTTCCACCGCGATCGATGATGAGACGTTCCAAATCGACACTTTCCTCATCCCCAGCCGCCCCAACCCACCCCTAAGCAGGGACCACTACAGTTAGACCAAAGTTGTAGAAAATGGAGTTTTCTATCATCTGGTAAATTTTGAGAATTTTTGGATGTGTGGTTAAAAGTGTATTAAAAAGAGAAGGAACAGTGCTACTATCTCGACTTTGTAGTGGAATGGTAGATGCTTGAATTGATTATATGATGGTATTGGTATTGAGGTTCGCTTGTGATTAGGTGGGGCACCTTCGGATCGTTCTTAGCTCACAATCCTGATCTTCAGTTAAGGCAAGTAAATGTGGCGCTATGATCCACATGCTTTGACATCATTGTTTGAATGACCTCCACCAAATTTCAATTACTCATACTAGCCAGATAATCTAAATATGAAGTTATTACTTACTTTGAAGTATTTTTTCCATAGCTTGTGGTATTTTACTCTCTAAATTATGAATTATGAAGTATGAAGTATGTGAAGTGCACATATTGCAGCATTGCATTTGCACTTTTCCCTTAGAGATGAATTTGAACAAACCGTAGCCAGATTGGTGCGGTAAGCATCGATACAACAATGCATGATGAAATGAGCAATGTCGTTGCAGTCTTCACTCCCTCAATTTGGGATGTGTGGGTAGAAGTGAAGTCATACATTGCATTAGACAATTGCATTTTGCACAACGAAGTACAACCTGTGAAGTATTTGTTGTTTTGTTATCATCTACTTAAATGTGATGTTTAATCAAGATGTGGTTTGAATGGCTTTGTTAAAGCAGTTTGCTTGCTTAGGTTTTCCATAAACCTCTCATGCTTGTGTCCCTTATCTCAGGTGCATAGCTTCGAGGCTGCTTGGCACGATAAAAGTAGCAGCATGAGTACACACTTGTTGATATACACTAAAAATAAACCCATGTGTTTTAATAGTTATGATGGTCTTAGTTGGATATTTCTTTTTATCCTTTTGTCATGGAGCTTATGGTTAACGTCTTAATTTTGTCATTGTTGATGCTTCCGTGTTCTCTGATGTTATGTTATGATCAATAATTTACATAGCTAAATTTTAATCTCATTATTAGCAAAATGAAGTACCCCTTAATCCACATCTTAATTATCGACATCTTCTATTAGAAGAAAATTGCTCAAATAACCATAGAGCATATATATGTTTCTACATTATCCACCTCAATCAATATTAATATAGTAAAATATGGGTCATGCCAACATGCATGACCAACAAATATCTATGTTATGTTTCGTCACATAAAAAATATTACCTTGACAACTCATATACTAATGACACAAAATTGTTTAAAACTTTATTAGTAACTATCCCTATCCAGATCTGAGTTGAAGCTCTGTGAGTTATCTTAAGCGACATGGTGTATGTTTTAAATGATGGCTTATGCTTTTCCTTATTTTACAAAAGTGCAAAAAGGAGAGTTAATGAAAGATATAATAAGCACAAGAATTTCAATTTAACTTAATCTGGAGCAGTCAATAAGAATAAAATTTGAAAAAACTAAATTTAGATTCATGACTTCATAAGATATGTGATGCAACAAGATCCACCATACATAATGGTAAGTTTTCAAACTAATTGCATATTTAAAATATATATAGGTGCCATGCAGAAGTAAAATATGAATATGGACGGAAAAAATATAAAGATTAGTCCCTTGAACTAATAATAGTAATTAATAAATTTATGATACAGACTGTAAAAGATCTATTATGTCTATTGTGTTCGAAAATAAACAAAAACAAAAAACCAACAATTTAATGTAAGTAATTCTTTATTAGTCAGTTGCATAAAACAATAAGTAATACTTATATCTCCTAAAACTCTAGCCCATGCAAGAGCATGAGTTGATGGACTAGTAATATAAATGGAAATTCCATAACAATTTGGTGCAATGCGATGAATGCTAATCTAAATATTCTTGTTTCTTTTTAAGTGCATATACCAGTACAATATCAAGATATGTGTTGTGTAGCTAGCATGGGCACGGTATACTGATGGTTTGAGTTCAATGTATGTTTGCGTTCTCCTCCGGCATACGTGGTCATGATTGAACGAATTCTGCTAGCTGCATCTTTCATGGTCGTTCGTTCAGCAGGAATTTCTCGTGTGCAAGAAAGTGCTACTTGCAGTAGAGAAAACAAGCATTGGTAGTCCTCATTTGCTGTTACCATTTTATCTGGGCACTCTTGACGCCATCTTGTAAGGAACCATCAGTCACATCCAATATTTTATCAGGGAAGCTCCTCTCCACGAAGTTAACAATGTTTAGTTCATCCACAAACAAATGATCTGTTGGCCTTTTCCCTGTCAGCATCTCTAGAAGTACTATTCCAAAACTGTAAACATCCCCATATATGTTGATGCGTGACCACCTCGAGCATATTCTGAAGATACATTGAATTAGTGCACACTCGAAGTATACTGCATATAATTAAGATATAATTTTCCAATGCCGATAGTACCTGGAGGTATGTAGCCGATAGTACCCTTCACACCGGTTGAGCTCATAGTTTTTGAAATTTTGCAATGCCGAAGTCTCCCAAACAAGCTTTCATGTCATCATCTAGGAGTATGTTACTGGGCTTGACATCACAATGGATAATTGTTGTCCCACTTCCGTTGTGCAGATAATCCAGTATGTCAGCTATGTTGACAGCTAAGCATGTTCTTTGATTTAAGTCCAAAGGTTTTCTGACTTTCCCATTCACTTCCTGATGCAACCATGAGTCCAAATTCCCGTTTGGCATAAATTCATCTATCAGAGCTTTGAAAACATTGCCGTTGATATCCACTGTGGAGCATGCTGTTATGATGGGAACTAGATTTCGGTGTCGGATGTTTCTCAAAGCTTCACATTCCGATAAGAAACTTTTCTCAGCACCTCGCATATCAATGTCAAGAACCTTAATTGCAACTTCCACCTTCTTTTCCATCAACTTCCCTCTATATACAGAACCATAACCTCCTCTCCCTATCATGTTTGATTCGGAGAAGTTCTATCACTACCCCAGATCTGGACATCACCCCAGATCTGGACATCACTGCCGGTTCAAAAACCCACTTCACTGCCGGATTTTGAACCGACAGTGGCATACCGGCAGTGATAGGGGGTTGACATCACTGCCAGTCCTTAAAAACCGACACTGATATACAGGAAACAGTGTCAGTTCCTGGCTCCACCCGGCAGTGTCCAGTTGAACAACACTGCCGGTTTGTAGTGCCAACCGACAATGACGGTTGCTTCAAGAGTGTCGGTTCTTGGCTCAAGCCAGCAGTGTTGAGCAAGCCTACACTGTCGGTTGATGGACCAAACCGGCAGTGTTGTAGTAAATATCAGTGTCGGTTCATGGATCAAACCGGCAGTGTTCTCGTAACTACCAGTGTCGGGTCATGGTTGAAGCCGGCAGTGTTGTAGTAACTATCAGTGTCGGGTCATGGTTCAAGCCGGCAGTGTTGTAGTAAATATCAGTGTCGGTTCATGGATCAAACCGGCAGTGTTCTCGTAACTATCAGTGGCGGTTCATGGTTCAAGCCGGCAGTGTTGAGCAAGCCAACACTGTCGGTTTCCTTCTAACCGGTAGTGATGGTTACGACAACACTGCCGGTTTGTTGCTAACCGGCGGTGATGGCCCGTTCGTATTTTATTGTTTTATAATTTATTTTAATTTATATTTTTTCGTGGAATCGGGTTTCGCTTTATATACGCTACGTAGATGACAGGTCCATCAATATTAAACATTACAAATGTTACGTTTAGAATTCAAATGTTCTTATCCACATCTCGATCCCTCAAAATAAAAAAGAAATGTTCTTGGACTTCACACATGCTTCTCGGACTTCCTACAATAATCTGGCGAGCCGCTCTGGGCCATACTGGTCCTTGTACCTCACGGATTGTGCAATGGAAAATACTCCATTTTTTCCAATACCTCGGCTAAGATGAATTTTGCCAGCTCCGATTGTAGTGCGACGATCTCCATGTCTAGCAGCCTTCCATGCTTATATTTCTTGCGTTGTCGTTCAAAAAAGATGATATCCAAAGAGGAACAGTAAATAATTTTGTTGAATTATTAACAGACATAAATGAAATGGAGATTATACACACCAACTTATCGGCTTCTTCCGATTTCCCGCCGATGTAGCGAAGCATTGCCCACATTACATAAAACCCGCATTCATTGTTTCCCGCCGGCTGTGATAGGTACTTCCCCTCCATTTCGACAACCTTGAATCGGACCGGCGTCCCCCCGATATGTCTTCTTCGGACACTAAGCAACATTAAAAGAAGAAACATTAGAAAGCGGTATGTGTGATTAGAAAATAATAGTTATTAGGATCGCTTACTAATTCAACACTGCCACCAGTGCATCCAGATGATGAAATGGTTTTTTCTTCGAGTCCCACACCTCGAGCAGACTTTTGGCAAGATTAACACAAATGAAGACGAAATGGTTGCTGCAATCATAGAATCATAATTATCGAATAATCTTAACGAAAAAAGAAGCATAAAATTAAAAGCCGA